TATATATATATATATATATATATAAAATCAAACTGGCGCATGAACCTCGATTTGGGCTGCCATCAACGTCTGATATTTCTAGCTTGAATAGTTTCACAGCGGCTGTCATTGAAGTGAAATAAGTGACAGGCTTTGGCTTTGGAGATGACCGTCTAATATCATCAACATGCCCTGGGGATTGTTCATTCATCTGACAGAGTTTCAGCTAATGCGTTAACCGGTCATCTGGTAATTCCTCTTCGGCCTTTAGCTTTATTTTAGCTAGCTTGGTTCTATCCTGCACGTCCAGGAAAGCCCTTTGGAGTTCAACCTCGAGCTCAACCTGATATTTCTGGAGCTAAGCAATACATAGGGCTTTTAAGGTTACATTGTCCCTACGAAAAAGGACTGGGGTGCGAAATAGCCCGCACTGCAATTAAGTCATTCACGTGATCGATAGCTTTCGCAAAGTCCTGAGTGCCCTTTTCGTTTGCAATGATTCCAACTGTTGGAATGCTTTATTTCAAACAAGACACATAAGATGTTGGTATCTTCGAGTAACATGACAGTCGAACCTCATGGAAGGTAAAACAATGTGAGCTGAGTTTATATCCGGTACTTTTGATAGTAAAAGCAAACTCACTGTATATACAGACCTGGATGGCGGATACTCGTCCAGAACAAATGATCCACTTAGGCTACGCAGACAGTCATACGTGCATACATTCGGCCACAAGCATGGCTTGATGACCATGAGGTCGAATGACTGAATTGGCAGGGACGAACAAACGCCAGTTCATGTCCACATACTAAACACAAAGTTGGAGTGGGAGAGATAAGGACGAAAGAAACATGAGGGATTTCACATATCAAAGTAATGGAAGATACAAACAACTTTTCCTTGGCCGGCCCCGGGACATCGCCTAATTCTATGAGGCTAGAAATGTTCAAAGCAAGCTGCAAATTGTAACGCCAACCATTAAGTAGCCCCTAAATAAAAGATGAGACTGCAACTTCTATTTTGAAATTTCCGATAAGGCTGTGGTTACTTCTGTCATACAGCAATGAAAGCGTGGCCGATGCACACGGCCAACAGGGGGCTTGTCTTCTCCGATACCTCGAAAATTGGCCAGATGCAACCTACATCAATCAAAGCCGATGGCTGAACAAACATCGCACAACCACTAACCCACCGCTATGCACCACTACGCTCCCCAATAAAGCACTGGTGATGTCACCTCGATTGTTGAAGAAACGTTTGCAGTCGAATTGCCCAGCTTAGCGAACAAGCCAACGACCAAACATCGCTCACTTACACGATTAACGAGCTTATCAAATTTGACTGAGAAAAGTCAAACGTTTATCTGGTTCTTGCAACTGATTAGGAAATAAGGGGAAGGCGGCTATTTGTTGTAAGCGTCTTTGAGGTGTTTGAGCTTAGCTACGAAGAACGATTGATGAACCGCACTTGGTTTCGGTTTATGCCTTCCCGCATCCGAATATTGGAAATATGTGCATGTAAGTTTATCACGCATCATTTATCACAAGCAAAGCCGATCAATCTTGCAACAGGTCAAACAAGTCTCATGTTATTTCGGGTTTAACACGTGTGGTCCATGAAATCAGCCTGGAAAGAACAGTGACTTTCCACAAGTAGGCTCCCATTCGAGGACAGACGCTAACTTTGCTCAAGTTGTGATGTGCCCTTCTATACAGAACGTTCCCTATATATCTATATATATTCCGCTTCTTCCTTTGATTGTGTTTGGAAGGAATGGTTAAAACCTTGTATTCATGATTTAATTCCCAGTTTCCGCAAACAAAACACAGCCGTCCGTATTGGCAACTGCTCAGATAGTGCCTCCTCACTTTTCGCACACATCATGGAGCACAGTTGTCTTGATTTCCATGTTCGTCACTTGAACGAACTTTAGTTTATCCAGATTCGTGCAGGTGTCGTTCACCCCTAAGAGAATATAAATTTATTTATAGCTCGCCATTGTGTCCTTCTGCTAATTAAAACCTTGTAAAGTTGTTCTGGCACCAACTTTGAAATTTTTGAAACTTTGAGATTCTGCATGAATAACTGCTGTTTTTCGAGGTACACTTGGTTTTCAAACTCATCGGTGATGAAATTCTTTACAGAAGAAAAAAACAGTTCCTACGACGCCCGTGAACGCTCGCCGATCAACAGAAAGGGCCTGCAACCTGACGGAATATCTGAGCTTAATCCTACATCGGAATAGAGTCAGAGAGATTCGACTGAAGTCCGAAGTAACCGGCCAACTTGTTCTCGTATTCCATTATTCGTTGGTGAAATTCGTAGTTAAAATGAAAGAGCCGATGCTTTCCAAAGCGAGTTAATACAAACTTTTATTGATTGTCTGAGAAATGTTTGATCGTCTGAGAAAGCTTTGTGTGTGGCTGAAATATCTGGAACAATGCCCGGCCTAGGTGCATTGCTATAAAGGGCCCGGAGTGGTCGCTTGGAAGGTTGAAGAGGGTGACCGAAATGACAGATCTCCATGTGACGTTGATTAACCTGTTGGAAGAAGAACCCTGCTATTTGCTTTACTCAGACCAGTGCCCTATTCCACAGTGAGCGGCTGATACCCATGTTGGTCAGTCGGAAATATTTTGTGGGCATTTCTTGTCCCTCAGCTAACCTGGCTAAAATCCAAGAGAAATCCAATCGCGTCCACTGATTCATCAAGGGATGGATTAAGTGTTTCTCACATTCACTGGTCATTTTGGATACAGTGCTGTCGTTGTTCTACATTAGACTGTTGCGGTGAATCTCATTGACAAATTTATTCTATCCTTTTATCGAAGTTACATTTTACCGGATCCTTGGAAAGAGGAAGCATTGTCGTGAAGAGTGACCAGAAGGAGGAACAAAAACTAGTGATCCTCTCATCCGTTTAATACATATCTACTTTATAATTGTCTCTCATTTCTTTGGCCATACCACATGGTTGCTGTATTGTGAGCATGGTGCGATTGGTATTTATAGACTGTATTCGGTTATTGACTGGACACCGTGGGGTGGAGTGGGAACAGAAAGTACCATCAACCTAGGTCAGCCTGTACACATACATAAACGACGTTAGATTTTAAGGCCAAAGTCATTGCCACTGCTTGAAATGAGTCTTGAAAGAGAAGCTACTAAACCTGCTCCAAGATGTCTTGGTATTTCCAAATCTAACAAATTATACCACCATTGGCAGGCACACCAGTGTTCTCATTTAACTGCGGTAAGAGTAAGGCACAGCCCCTGTTCACTGGGTCTATTTGAAGCAACCATGCAGTGTTCATGGCATTTCCTATCGCCCGAAAGAGTTTCGGTAAAGTTTATGTGGTCTGAGTGGCCTTGTTTGGGTGACCAACAATGTTTTTTCCCGTGCAAACACCTATAACGTTTACTGATAGGTGATGGCCTACTTCATCAATGCGCGAAGTGCACCCTTTCGTATGTGCACGTTGTTGGTTTTCGAAAGTCAGCAGATAATTTCAGTAATAACTTTCGCTCACAGAAAGAAGGGTTTATCGAGGCAAGATTTTCACTGGTACCTAGGTTTTCCACACATTGCCCGCAAACTACTCATGATGTCTAAGTAGCCAAGCGAAGGAATCAACCTGACAATGCCTTCATATACTGTTAGATGTGATTTTGCTTACTCGAGCGATTTTCATATCTCATATGTACGACTAAGTTTACTAAAAACGGTAGCAGTAGTAAAAATGTAAGGTGCTGTTTGGTTGTTGCTGAGATGTTTTGAATGGCCCTGTCCAATGGCATTCGCGCCATCTGTAGAAGCAGCTGGGCCTCGAATTGCTAGACAGTCTCAACCGAAGACCCCTGTGTAAAAATTTGTTTTTTTTTGTAAGGGCATACAAAATGAAGAATTGTTTTTGTTTGTGCACATGCAAAGGTATAATGTATGGTAAACATCCTGGTATTTTGTGGAGTGCACATTATTGGTATTTGCGTTATTGAGGATGAGTGGATTATACCAGAATAGCCCAGTAAATAGGTGTGGTGGTGGTGTCGTCCGCCAATAAATCATCAAAAACTCGCCATTTGTGAATTTTGATGGAGTTATATGAATTGGTGCACTGAACAGCAGTCTTCAGGTTGTCGCAGTTTGGCATCCGCAAATAAACAGATGCTCATATAACATTTACTAGCGAAATCAAACAGTTCTCAGTAGAAACGTCTAGAAAGAGAGCAGGACTGCACTTTTCACACCATTCTTGTCAGCTGCCCCCTTGTACAACGTGACCACTATAACTCCGACCCATATGTATAACCACAGACAAAATGTAGCATTGCGAGTGTTCAATTAGCCTCTTTAAATCTTGAAAGTTCTTCCACCGTAGGAGACCAACTCATGGATTCATTACTAGCTTGTGCATGAAAACGTTCACATAGACACCAGCGCTTGGAGTTCATGACCAATGAATTACTATGGGTAAAATCCCTGTAACGTCTGAATGCTTATTTTGTGGCTTTATTACCGTACTTTTACGTGTTGGAGTAAGTTGAAATCAAAAGTGACAGGGGGTTCTTTAATTCTGGTGGACCTAACAATACTTTCGACGCGTATCACATCAACTGCTAAAATGTCAAACTTCGGATAACAAATTTTCGCTTATTCTTGTGGCCTTTTGATCAATAAGAATATGCATTTGTGCTTTCTTTACCGAACCAACATTGAAAGGCAACTGGAGGTAGCCTATTCGCTAAGATGCAGACCCAATTACCAGAAGATTCGTTTTTCGAACCGGACCCTGACATCGTGACTGACCCTGCCAAAGCTTGGGCAACCTGGTTCAAGTTAAACGCTCCTACTTCCTCCGCACAGCATGACATTTGGTCCGGATGGAGTCGACTATGACACAAAGCGAACAAAAGGTGAGTACAGTCCACGAAATTATATTAAATGATTTATAGGTGATGATACCCCATCGGGCTTTTACGCTACGTTTTATTGGTCATGAATTCTTCCTTTTATCCGCCCAGTTCTGGAGTGACCGGCTTTCTTTGTGCAGCATATTCAGCTGAAGGATAGACCCATGCAGGCAATTACTTAACTGGGATGAAACTAAACCTCGTATTGAAACTAAATTAATGGACCAATGGGTGTATTTCACGAATCTAACCAGGTCCCAATTATTGATGGACTTTCATTGTAGTTACCGTCTGCTTAG